TATATATATATATATTATAATTTTGAGATTATTCATTCAAATAGTAAAGGGCCTATGAAGATTTCTAAAAAAGAAAAAGTAACATAAACATGGATGGCTAGCAATCTATGGATGCATTACATTTAAATTAAAGGGCATAAGAGTTGGCCTGAGATTAAATAAATCAGTCAAGTTAAATAATAAAGGCTACATTATGACATAAGCAGTATGTATAAAATACGTAGCAAAACAATAAAAATAACATTTCTTTATCATGTCCGATATTTTTTTCTATTCATTAGTTTATCAGATGCATGGAAGTGATTATGTATATTGACTTTTTTTCAATATCGATTATTCAGAATTGCTATGATAATTCTTTAACTTTTCTATCATGAAGTTTTATTTTCTTTCCCATTTAATTGTTTTTGTAGCATATATGAAATTGAATTCCTAATAAGGATGTATGCAAGTAAGTCATCTATGGGTTTGTAAAGCCTGCTTGGGTGGGTCACAAAGTTTGAACTGTGATGGACTAGATTGCTTTACTATTCAAAGGACAGAATCCTATAGAATTCAGCAGTTTGGGCAATGTTGGTAAGCAGATTGATAGTAATTCTGATTTTTAAAGTTTATTTTCTAAGAATACACATTCAATATTAAAAAGTACCCATTCACTAAATCAAAGTTTATAGAGTGTGTATATAATTCAACAGCAAGTAAATATATCATATGGTTTTACTTTATTTATATTAAACACATCATGATTAGTAAGCTTTCAGGTAGTATTTGTGCATCTCAGTATGAGAGCAACTCAGAATGGTGTAATGTGGGGGCATAGAAGGATCTGTGATTTTAAAGCGTTTAAAAAGATTTTCCTATTCTAAAAGAAGAACATATTCCATAAAATTTTCGAGATCAAATTTTAGAGAAGTAAGCCTCAATACTAAAAGACATCCTATATAGCCTAACAGGTAGAAAGAGTTGATATAAAGTGAGCACTTATGTTAAGTCAGGTGTTTTTTTTTTTTTATCACTCTAATAGAAGAAAACATTTTTCTTAACTCAAGTTAGGAAATTATTATACATTTTTATATATCTTTATATCAAAAGTTACAAGTAGCAAGCATATGACACAAAGAAATGGAAGTGTAACAGCAGTATTCAAGAATGCATGCTTTTTACAATGTGTCTAATAAAAAGGACATTTTTCCAACTCAAATATTCAGTACTGACATGCAGGATAGTTTCTCACACTGCCAATTCAGTCATATTGCTAAGTGCTTCATCAAAAAACATTTCTATTGAAGGGTACGAATGGTAAAATACCTGATTTCAAAAACGATTTCTGAAACTTAGTGTCTTCCTTTGATATAGAACAAAAAGGAAGTTGGGGGAATTTGGGAAAGAACAACAACAAAAAAGTGAGATGTTTCTTATTGCAATGTAGTTATTTTTGCTCAAGACTTTCGGCTGCGTTTAATCATAATCCAACAATAGATGGTTATAGTCCATAAAACCTCTAGCTGGTGTGTCCATGGTCCATATTTTCACTTCTTAACTGTAGCATGTTCAAAATCCCTCAGGAGCGCACTATTCTCAAGCAGTCTATCTAATGAAAACAACGTACATGTAACACAAAGTTCATCCACAATCGTATTTTTCACATATCACACAACGTACAATCATATAACGAGGACATAAAACAACATGGAAACAAAGTGAAACTAACAGTGAAAATAAAAATCGGGATAGTCTTAATCAGGAACTAATTTCTTCTTCAAGTTTCCAGTAAATCTCAAAATGTGTTTAAAACCTAAGGAGCACTTGGTGGCCAGCAACCAAATTACGAAATGAACATATCATTGTGCAGCGGGGATGTCTTGCTGAAGGAATAACAAATGTCTGTAATTCTTAAGATTGGATAAAGGCAGTGGAAATGAATTTAGAAATATGTCCACTTTTCACAATTCACTATAGAATTTTCTTTTCACAGTCCCCATCTTTGTACAAATAGTTCTTCTCTGAAAATAAAACACAGTTAAAACATTTTCTACCAATGAAAAATGCATACAAATACATCAATTTATCAAGGTAATATAGAGCATGGAAGTGCATTCACCTAAGTCAAGAATAGTTGATAGGCTTGAAGTGCTTTGAAGAGTTTAGCTGTCAAGCAAATTTAATTGGAGACAGATTAGTCTAATATAGATATAGATTAGCAAGTGCTAAAAGTAAAGCTGCTATGATCTTTGATCACAAAATAGATGTACACGTAAACCACTGGTATCAATGGAACATTTTACAGTTAAGCATTCAAATTTTATATCATAAAATTTGACTTCATAGATTTTGACATAACATGCTACATTTAATTTGGATGAGATAAGCTATGTATTCATGCAAAAATAAGAGTGCACAAATTGCATAAGTACCACCAAATACTTAGCGTAGGAGTCTGAGTAGAATATTGCCAAATGAAATCAATCAGGAAATTACCAACTTAATATACTGACTTCGGTTATATTGAGACAATCCTCAAGTGTTTTTATTATGAAAAACTTGCATTTCTTCTGCTCTTTTTAAAAAGAGTTGACTAGGTTTCGGATTTTAACTTTAAAACATGTAAAATTTCACTTCCTGATTTCACATCATTTTAATAACACTGTAGTACAATGCTTGATGGTAAGCAGGTGAACAATGTTTTGAAAGATATGTCTACGACAAATCATCATTCCATCAGCATTGAACCCATTATATTTCTGATTACGAAATATTACGAAACATATATCTCAAGAAATTATGAATAAAGAGCACATTCCTTAAAATATCAACAAGACAACTGCAACAAAACAAAACAAAACAGAATACAACAAGGTGGGAGAAGGAACCAAGGACATTCGCTTACCTTGAATTTTCTTTTTAGACCCTAGTTGTGTTGTATTCAGATTCATGTTTGCTTAGAGACCCAATGAGGCAGAACCTGGAATGTTATGGCTATTTCATTCAACAAAGTAATATTTGCACAAAAAATAAATATTCATACAAATACTTACTTAAAAGCATTCCTAAAAATTCTTAAAACTGTGGAAATAGGTTTTTTTTTTCCATCAGCATGCAAAAATACTAAATCAACTAAAAATATTTTAGGTTTTAAGATGCACTAATGAATTAAAAAAGTATGTACATTCATAAAACAAACTCAATGCTAGTAAACATGCAAAATAAAACATATATAATTTGGATTAGGGGACTTAAAATCGATTTTTTTTTCTAAATTAAATTTTCTTTCCTCAAAATTTTTACTAATTTTATGGCTAATAATTCGATACAGATAATAGTATCTTTCTGTTAAAAGGAACATGAATTAAATGTTGCTACTATTTTTCTCTACATTTAAATAGAAATGTTTTGTATTTTAGCATACCATACTATTATATGCAATTTGTAACGTAAGTATTATGTGATCTGTAGAAAAAAAGGATTTTGGTAATTTCATTGTCATACAAAAAATATAATACATTATATTGCAAAATATGTTATTTTTAATTAAAATTATTCAACAAGATGGGTTAACCATCTTGGTAAGGCAATTACTTCCAAATATCATTTTATATCTGAAAATATATTAAAAGTTGACGAGAGCGACATTTATGACCATGTGGATGCAAATTAGCAAGTCGTATTTATGATAGAAATTAAAACCCTAATCTGTGTAGAAGTAAATGTCATGTACGCGTGGGAATAAATGAACTATCTTTGGTCTGTGTGTGCTCACACACAAACACATGTGTACATAAACAGGGTTCAGGAAGCCTATGGATGACACGGGAAAGGAAAAGGAGGGGAAAAAAATCGAGATCCTATGGTTTGAATCATTAACAAAAAGAGAGAGTGAAAAATGCAGATCGACTAGAACACAATATTCTTGGAGGCATTTTGGTCCTCAGGTTATAGTCGTCATCAAAAAATCTACTGATACTGACCGCTGCACGGCTTTGTCGTGTCGGGACAGCCTGTGACTCGTCGTGGGCACCTCCTCAATCTCGTCGATGTCACAGGCATCTGCGGCATCCTGCGAGTAGCTGTGTTTCATGACGAGGATATTTCTTCTGTTCATGGGCGGGATGAGGGGTTTGATGGGCTGTGGGGGCATCTCCGTCAAGACAGAAGCATCTCTTGTGCTGAGGTTACTGCGGCTGCCCTTTGTACTGGACACGTGGGACCCACAGTGGTGGTCGTGAACGCACTTGGAAGAGGATCTCCGCAGTTTGTGGTAGTTTTCAAAGTCCTCTGCCACATCTGCAAAGTCAGCTGTAGCTCCTGTCCCTCTGAGAGTGCATAACTCATAATGGGGAGGTTCAAACACCTCCTGGAAAACTGTCTGGTCAAAGTCCGATTTCCTTTGGACATATTTTTTACGAGGCTGTTTGATCTGCACAATGACAGAAATGATAATAAGGATGATCACAATGCAGGAAGTCACTCCAATGACAGTCCCACTGGTGTTGGTGAGCTGGTCCAGCAGGCTGGCTTTCCTCTTCTCTACAGGTTGAGGAGAGTGAAAACAACAAACAAAACAAGAAACAATCCACCGCGTATTAATATGGTAGTCAAGGCGCATAGGGAGAACTTTAATAAGACGTACGCTCAGCATGGGACTCTTACAGGCTTCGAGTGACAAAAACGAATCTTTAGAAACAAAACCTTTCGCTTTTCACAGGGGCCCTATCGTCCGGCCTTAGAGACAGCCCTCCCACTGCCCAGCACCCCTACTTGAAACATAAATATATGCGTATAGAAGGTCTTACAAGACCTTCAGCATGACATTTGGGAATGGATTAGTAATGTTAAAAACGGTAAATTATTTTCCTTCTCATAGGTGTAAGGAAACATCCCAAACTCCACTAGTGGGAACGCAGACTTACCTATATGGTTTCGAATTTATTCCTGACATGGATAATTGAACTCAAAATAACAACAATATTCTGATATCAAAAGGTAATTCGATTTCATGACAGAAATTTCTGGAATGGTGGCATGATGTCTTCCATGGGCCTCTTCCCCAGTGAAACAACCATAACTCGTAAAAGTGATTTAAATAAATAAATATAATATATGTGCATATATATTTTTTGGTCTGGAAATTATCTGGAAATGTATCTGGAAATACTATATATATATGTATATATATATATGTATATATATGTATATATATATAGTTTCTGGAAATTATCTTAATGGAAAGAGCAAATGGAAGTACATTTATTCAAGAAAATTTACTAAATTTCGTTAAGAACAGTGAGAGCCTGGCCTTTGAACCCATTTCTCCCAACCCCACCCCAATTCACCATGAGGGACACTTAGGGAGGTTTCAGACAACGGCACAGAGTTTCCTCCTCCTAAGCCTTTCCTTCTACAGCTGCAGTATCTCCCCAGGAGGAGCAAACCACTAGCATTTCTCACCACCCCCCTGAATCCCTAGGGCAGGTGCTCTATCCTAGGCAGGAGATGCTGAGTTGTCAAGGGCTCCATTCCTCCTCTCAGCCCCCACTGGTAGGATGGAAGCTCTACAGGAGGGCAGCAGGCTGGGAATGCTTGTCTCTGAGCACACTTGCCCAAGCTCACTCGTAGAGTCTGTCCGTCTGCCTGGAGGGGCAAGCTGATAAGCCAGAGGTTACCACCCTCGGGCAGTACCCTATTCATAAAGTAGGGGTGTCACTCCAAGACAAGTAGGTCACGGCCCCTGCCTCCCTCCATCACTCAGAGCAGTAATGCAGACATTTTGCCCATGAAGAGAGGTAAGTCAAGAACAGAGAGCGCCAGAGCTTTCCCCAAAGAACGTTACATTGTTTGGAACAGTGTGGAGAAGTTCAGGCCTAGGGATCTCCAAAACAACAGACATTTTCTGGTAAGCGATTAAGAGGAGACGATCAAGCTCTTCAGTAGCAACTAGCCAGACCTGAGAACAGGTAGAAGCTTAACGTAAAATGTCAGGAAAATAACTAATAATTTAGAATAAATCATAAAGGCTGAACTCAAAGACTAACCCCACAACAGAATAGAATTGAATTGGGTCAGACCTTGGAGCAATTTATACTCCTGGGAACTGTCCAAAATAACAGAGCAATCATTTGGCACTTGGTGGAGACTAACAGCTGGGTGTGATACCAACAAAGACACATAAACAGCACAGGCAAAGGGATGGTCAGAGAGCACCTTACTAAACCAGGACCATCTGAGACCATGGCATGGTCTCCGTGGAGGAACGTCAGGACAGACGTCACTGAAACAGGCCAGCCTGGTCTGTGCTCACAAACAAGTCAAGGAGAAAACAGAAGTAGCAATAAGCCCCGGGGAGGGAGGAATCAGTATCCAGAATTGCTACAGCACATTATTTAGCATGAAGTTTTCTTTTTTTATCTTCTTTTCTTTTTTTCAATGTTTATTCATTTTTGAGAGACAGAGACAGAGCATGAGCAGGGGAGAGGCAGAGAGAGAGGGAGACAGAATCCAAAGCAGCCTCCTGGCTCTGAGCTGTCAGCACACAGCCTGACACGGGGCTCGAACCCACTAACTGTGAGATCATGACCTGAGCCGAAGTCGGACGCTTAGCTGACTGAGCCACCCAGGCGCCCCTAACGTGAAGTTTTCAACAAAATATCACAAGGCATGCAAAGAAACTGGAAAAAGCAATTCATACATGGGGGTTAAAAAGCCTTAGAGAGGGCCAAACAGCAGACCAGGCAGACAACGAGACAATGATTGCAAAGCGGTTGTTATAAAATATGTTCAAGGAACTAAAGGAAACGATGGTTAAAGGGGGTAAAGGAAAATATGAGGAGAAACCCTCATTGTATGCAGAACAGCAATGAAGAAACAGAAATTATGAGGGGCGCCTGGGTGGCTCAGTCGGTTGAGCGTCCGACTTCAGCTCAGGTCATGATCTTGCGGTTTGTGAGTCCGAGCCCTGCATTGGGCTCTGTGCTGATAGCTCAGAGCCTGGAACCTGCTTCGGATTCTATGTCTACCTCTCTCTCTGCTCTCCCCTGCTCACTCTCTGTCTCTCCCTCTTTCAAAAATAAATAGACATTAAAAAACTTAAAAAAAAAGAAACAAATTCTAAAAAAGAAAAAAGTGAAAAATCTAGAGTTGAGCGGCATGGTCACAGAAATAAAAACTGCATTTGAGTGACTCAGCAGTACATTTCAGCTGGACTAGGAAAAGAACAGCAAATGTGCAGATAGGTGAAGGAACGTTATGCAATCTGAAGAAGACTAAGAAAAAAGGATGCAGGAAAGTGGGCAGAGCCTCAGAAAAATAAGACAAGCCATCAATGGCACCAACATCATGGGATGGGAGTAAAGAAGGAGAGAAAGAAAGTGCAGGACAATAATCACATACATAAAGGGTGAGGACTTCCCAAATCTGATGAACAAATCTAAAATCCAAGGATTTCAGCAAATTCCAAGTAAGATAAATGAATTGAGACCCACACTCTGACATATGAGATTAAAGATGTTGAAACAGAAAATCTTGAAAGCAGCAAGGGGGAAATAACTCATCACACAGAAAGGACTCCCAATCAGATTAACAGGTGATTTATCATCAGAAATCTTGGAGGCCAGAAAGCAGAGGGTCGACAAATTTAAAACTCTGCAGGCAAAAAACAAAACAAAACAAAAACTGTTGATAGAAATCTAATATCCAGCGTGACGAACTTTCAAAAATGGAGATGAAATAGACATCTCCAGGTAAACAGAAATAAACATAATTTAATGCTGAAAGAATTTACGGCAGTAAAGGAAATATTAAAGGAAATTCTTGGGATCGAAACCAAGCAACTCCAGACAGCAATTCAAACCCACATGAGAAAAGTAAGTACAAAGTGAATTAAAGTGGCAAATAAACACTGCCAATAAAGGCGATCATATACATAACTACCAAGGACGGTATAGTTGAATATATATTCTGCATTCTTCCCTTAACTTTTTAAAAGAGTAATATCATATGCATAAAATTGTACTGTTGGGCCTTTAACTTATAATATATTTGGTATTAATAGTACAAGTGAGTTTAGTAGGAGCAAAACTGTCTTGGAATAAGGAAGTGTCATCAGATGGTAATGTGAATTCACAAAAAACAAAGGAAAGAATGAGAAGTGGTAAGGAGGAAAGGGTTATATAATGAATTATGTGAATACATACTTGCTCTAAAATTATATAAAGTAACAACAGTGATGTAGTCTTTGATTTGTAACGTACATAAAAGTAATATGTACAATTGTAATAGGTAAGAAGGAAGAGAGAACAGACCTACATAAACAAGGTCATTGGGATTAAATTAGTATAAACCTGCAATATATTTTGGAAAATTAGGCTATATGTTATAACCCCTAAAATAACCACTAAGAAAATAGCTCCAAAAATACATTAAAAATCACTAAAGGAATTCAAATGCTACACTGGAATATATTCACTCGGTGCAGAAGACAGCAATAAAGAAGAAAAGAGGAATAAAAAAACATGGGACACAGAGGGGAAAAGAAAGTACAATGGTCGATGTAAATCCAACTATATATCAATACCAGCATTGAAATATGAAGGGATTAAACAATCCAATGAAAAGGCAAAGGTTTTCAGAATGGATCAAAAAATGAGATGCAACCATATCCTGTCTATAGAAGGCATACTTTACATCCAAAGATATAGATGGACTAAAGGCCAATGTATGGAAAAAGATTGCAATACAAACCGTATTTATAAGAAATCTAGAGTGAATGTGCTAACATTAGACAAAATACTTTAAAGCAAAAAGTTATTAAAAACAAGAAGATCATTTGATAATGATTGATAAAAGGGTCAATCCATCAGGAAAGCACAATAATTTCGAACATGTACAGACCCAACAACTAAACTCAAAAATACATAAAATGAAAGCTTACAGAAGTGAAGAAAGAAGCAGTTCAACCATAATCATCAGAGGATTTTTTAAAAATAGATAAAACATGGTAGGAAATAAAAACAGAAATGGAAGACGAACAGTGCTATCAGCCTACATCTATAGCACAATTCACCTAACAATGGCAAAATGCATTCTTTTCCAGGGCACAGCAAATTACTTAGAACATACTGTAGGTTAGTACATGAAACTAACTCCAATAAATTACAGGCATACCTCATTTTATTGCACTTCATCTTGTCCTTCACAGACATGTGTTTTTTTTTAAAAAATTGGAGGTCTGTGGCAGCCCTGCATCGAGCAAGTCTATCAGCACAATTTTTCCAACAGCATTTGCTCACTTCGTGCCTCCATGTCACATTCTGATAGTTCTTGCAACATTCCAAAGTTTTTCATTATTATTACATTTATTATGGTGACCTGTTACCAGAGATTCAGACTCGCTGAAAGGATTGATGATGGCCAGCACTTTTTAGCAAGAAAGCACTTTAAAAAAAATTTTTTTAATGTTTACTTATTTTTGAAAGAGAGACAAAGCATGAATGGGGACAGAGAGAGAGAGGGAGAGAGCGAGGGAGACACAGAATCTGAAGCAGGCTTCAGGCTCCAAGCTGCCAGCAGACAGCCTGACACAGGGCTCGAACCCACAACCCATGAGATCATGACCTGAGCTGAAGTTAGATGCTTAACTGACTGAGCCACCCAGGCGCCCCAAGAAATAAAGTATTTTTTTTAATTAAGGTATGCACATTGTTTCTACAGACATATTGCTATCGCACACTTACTAGACTACAGAATAGTGCAAACAACTTTTATATGCACTAGGAAACCAAAATATTCGTTTGGCTCACTTTATTGCGGTGGTCTGGAACTGAACCCACAGTGTCTCTGAGGTGAGCCAATAACAACAATCAAACCTGTAAAGGTGTGATCCCCTCTCAAAAAAGAATGAATCAGAAATCAAAATAGTGGTTCTGCCACTTGGAGAAGAGAAGCCTGAAAGCTCATAATGCATATCTGTTCACATTCTCTTCCGTCCACTCTCATGTGAAATAGTCCCTATACATGTGGGAACCAATCCCGTTAGACAAACAAAGCTTAGGACTACCAGTCATTAACAGTGCCGATTTAAGATTCTACTGCACAAATTACATAATTTCCTATCCATCCATTCAGAAGTGGCTCCTTGAATAATCACCTACTCCCACCCTCAAAATAATTGAGAGGCTGGGCCTTTCTCACAACGTCAACCATGGCTAGGGCGGCGATGCTTGTCTGCTTCTGTCCACAGAAGATGGTTCAATAGACAATACTGGACTTTGAACATGAAAGAGTTCATTGCCTGTTCCTTTTTCTTTGCCAATCAGGTAATATTGAATGTGAGTAAAAGAATATACCTGGCATTTTCAGGTAAAACACACAGCATTCATAGCAAAGCCGAGGATTGCTATCCAAGTAAACAGACCTTTGTGTACAGGCTAGAGAAGGCAGCAGGGGCGCTGGAAGGTATTTTCATGGGAAAGGAAGAAAAGCATTCGGGGAGCAAAATTGGAAGTCGAGCTAAGTGGCTGGGAGTACCTGAAAGCACAAATGTTCCTTGAACGCACTTGACCTCTAGAATGTGTGCTTACTATCCGACGAAGACATTGGAATAAGGGAGAGTTGCAGGCAGAGATGAAGGGCACCAGGTCTGATAGGAAAAACACACTGCACTAGAAGCTTCATTTCCTCTCCATGGCTCTGCAGGCTCTCATGAGATGTCTTTAATGAGCATCCCAGTGTTAAGGAGACTCTACTATGCATCAACGAATGAGGAAACTTCTGGTGAAAGCAAAGACTAAGGTTTACAAATGAAATGCCAAATACACACGAAGCTTGAGACAGTTCATAGACAGTCCATTTTTAAGTCTGATACATCCAAGCACTGTAATAAACTTCTTCCCACTCTACGGGCAGAGGAATTTTGCAAATTTTAAGAACCGGTCTTTACCTTTACAATGATTTTCGTCCCAAGGATACACACAGTTCTGGAGTCCATTGCAGACCAGTGTATTGTTAATACACATGTTGCTATGGCAGAAGAATGTATTGCCTTCACAGGGAGCTAAAAATAAGAAGAAGAAAAAAAAGCAAAGAAAAAAGTTATAACTGTGATTCAGTAGTAAATCACTCCGATTGCAAATCGAAAAACAAAAAGATGAGAATGATAATTTGCCATCAAATTGAGATAAACGATCCGACATTCCATTCTCAGGGGTTGCTATTGTGGTAATTATTTCCCATGTTGTGAACAGAGCTGGCCCTTCTCTAGATGTGCTTAGCTTATAAAACTACCACAGGAGGGTTTCCATGATAACAATGAAGTACATTATCTATATGGGTGCATTCTTTTTTTTTGTTTTTGACTTGCTGCATTCATTTAACGAAAATTAAGTGCCCACTACATGCATAACATGATGCTTTACACTGGAATTCTGTATGTACAAATTTAGTTGTATTATGCAAAAAGTCTTAATTTAATTAATTAATATTGAAATAATTTTGTAAAGCATATGTTTACAAAACACGAACGAAGAAAGTAGACATTAAGCAAATCTCTATTGCATTATTTGAACAAATGAACAAAACAAAAAATGTCAGGGAAATTCAGAACAAGAGAAAATTAATCCTGAACAACATAAGAAAAATATATATTATTCCCATCAACATGATTGATGAAATTAACCTACTTTCACGTATTTCACACATTCTAGTAACATTATGTTACAATGGTCCATGATCGCCAGATTACAATGCGCATTTAGGGTGCTGGGAGATAAAGGAAGGATGCCCAGAAGGTATACAATACAAAGATATGAGAAATAGTACAAGTTTAATGTAGCAACGTATAAGGTTAGATAGGACTTCCATATTAGGAAAATACATTCCTTTTTTTTATCAGAGTAATAGGACGTTTAGAAAAATCAGTCTCTAGGGGCACTTGGGTGGCTCAGTTGTTGGGCAACCGACTTCAGCTCAGGTCATGATCTCGCGGTTTGTGAGTTCGAGCCCCACGTGGGGCTCTGTGATGACCGCTCAGAGCCTGGAGCCTACTTCAGATTCTGTGTCTCCCCCTCTCTCTACCCCTCCCCTGCTCGTGCTCTGTGTCTGTCTCTCAATAATAAATAAACGGTAAAAAAAAAAAAAAAAAAAAAGAAAAAAAAAGAAAAATCAGTCGCTAGAGTAATACTGAATTAGGGATTATAGTTCACAGACCGTGCTTTTAACTTCACAATGATCCCACATATCTTCTAAAATGTAATTTCTGTGTTTTGTGTTTTTTTTTTTGTTCAGTAATTGTTCTAAGATCCTTTTAAGGATGACTATCCTAGAAAAGCATATTAGATACAAAACACATAATTTACAGTGGTTAGAAAATCGATCAATAAAGATTTACTAATGATCAGTATTGTCTAAATACCACAGTCATGTTGTAATGATTTTCACACCTTCAAGACTATATATCAACAGGTATTTTAGAAAGTTACCCTTTTTAGGTACATTTGCTATATTAACCACAAGTGTCAAACAAATAATTTGCATAAGGCAACTTGGTGTATTTTAACACTCTTAGAGAAATCCTCACCAAAAAACAATACAAAACAAAACAAAATGAAACAAAACAAACAAACAAAACACACTCAAGTCTTGCAAATCAGAAACATGGTGAAGATGTAGCTAACTCAAGCAAAGGGATTCCTTCTGGCTCTCCACACCCTTCCCCCTATCCCGCTTCCAGAAGACTAGTTCCTTCTTTCCTCGGCTAGAGTTTGACTTTATGGTCTTAAAGTCTGGCAAAAGATTAAAAAAAAAATGCAATAGTCATTTTCGGGGAAAAAACACATTAAAAGGTAGAAAATATGTAGTAGTCATTTTGAAAAGGAAGTATCATGCTTAACATGGGCTAGTGCCTTGTTAAACATCATATAAGCCCGTTATAATATAAACTTTAATGATCTGATGCATTATCGCAAAAATCTGCTCTTTAGTATGGAGCTAAATTTAAATTTCTGTAGTCAACCGTAATGGCTCTTGCAGAACAGATATGGTCTGTTAAGCAGATAATGAATGTTGTCAAACTGTGCACACAGAACGAAAAGGAGTTTTCTGCGAGTGGAGTGGTTGCAAAATGTTTTAGTAAAAAACCGTAAGAAATACACACGTCCTAAGAGACGCTGGTGGTACTGAAAACAGAGTTATCAGGGCACCTGGGTGGCTCAGTCGGTTACGCATCCAGCTCTTGATTTTGGCTCAGGTCATGATCTCACAGTTCTTCGTGAGTTGGGAGCCCTCATGTCGGGCTCTGAGCTGACAGTGCAGATTCTCTCTCCCTCTCTCTCTGCCCCTCCCCTACTCTCAAAGTAAATAAATAAACTTAAAAAATGAAAATACACTTATCCGCCGAGTGAAGAAAACCTTTAAGAGAGCATAAATACTTACTTCCCTTCCAGGATGAGTTGGAAAAATTAGTACAGTTACTATTAAGTAGGATGCATTAGATTTTACAATTTTAAGTATGTGAATAAAAATGACTCTGCATTCTGTAATTGAACAAAGTACAATAGAATACTCGGAAGAGCACCAAACTGTGAATTCCAAATGCTCCAAATGCAGTCGTGTTTGTAGTTCTGCTGCTTCTTGGTTGTGAACATCTCTTATAAACTACAAATCCAGGGGCACCTGGGTGGCTCAGTCGGTTAAGCGGCCGACTTCGGCTCAGGTCATGATCTCACGGTCCGTGAGTTCGAGCCCCGCGTCGGGCTCTGTGCTGACACCTCGGAGCCTGAAGCCTACTTCGGATTCTGTGTCTCCCTCTCTCCTCTCTCTGCCCCTCCCACGCTCATGCTCTGTCTCTCTCGGTCTCAAAAATAAATAAACATTAAACAAAAAGTTTAAGAAAACCCCTAAAAACTACAAATCCATGTGCCTGTATCAGTTATGATTAAATACTGGCGATTTCACTGGTAACAGGATAGGCAATCCAGGACGGCCCATAAATCACATTCCTGACACACTTCTTTTCATCCAATGATCAGGCAAATGTGCCAGTTAACTGGGATCGTCTTGCTTTTTAAATTTTCTATTATTGCAGGTACTAGACTATCTTTTCTCTTACTTTTGCCAGTATTTACAGAATTGCTATGCAAACAAGAAAGATAAAAAAAGCAAATCTTGCAGCGGCTAAGAAACAAATGTGTAACAACTTACAGTCCTTGAACAAAAATAAATGTTGTTTCATAGACAACACCAAAAATACAACATAGTGGCTTCTGAGTGTTCTCGTTATTGTACGTCTGAATATTTCTCTCCTGTAAATGCAGATCTGCGGGGTGCCTGGGTGGCTCAGTCGGTTAAGCGTCTGACTCTTGGTTTCAGCTCAGGTCACGCTCTTACAGTTTGCGAGTTCGAGCCCCAAGTCGGGCTCCACGCTGCCAGTGCAGAGCCTGCTTGGGATTCTCTCTCTCCCTCTCGGGGCCTCCCCCCTCTCAAAATAAATAAACAAACTTAAAAAAAATAAATGCAGGTATGCAATGGTTCATCAAAGATTCCTATTTCTATCTCCTATTGAAAATAGCAACTTCCTGCCTCCCAAAGCAAGCTATGTTCTTCTTGTGTTTTCAAGGATGTCTGGACACACTCTGGATACCAACCTTATTTCCCATGACCCTCAGCACACTCCCGTTATCTGTGGCTCAGTGGCCAAACACAGTTCCTTCTCTCTCTCTCTCTCTCTCTGCCCTGGAATATCCTTTCTCCGTTCTGTTATCCAAATCATATCTGCACTGTATTATCTGTACAGTTTTGAAATACTATTCCAAGCTACCAAGAAAATTATCTTTTTCTTAAATCCTATTATACTTATAATTTTAAACAGAGCTTGGCGGTTAGCATATGCTTATCATCTTTCCCACATGTTCTTTGAGACGAAGGGCAATGCCTTCAAAAATTTTTCATTTTTAAGCTTTCATACGGTTTAACGCTCCTAGGCTTATGGTAAATATTCAACAGAGAGGTTTAATTGATTAATATTACCGAGCAAAAGGTTAAGTCCAGCCAGGGTGCTAGCTGAGTATCCCAGGAAACGGAAGACTCCAACAGGTGTGGTGAGTAGTGGAGAGCTAACCTCCATGCCATGAATGGTCTTCAAGGGCAGTCCGATTTGCGATATTCTCAGAGACTACAGCTCAGCGTCCTTTCCTTGGCTCGCTCACCACTGCTGACCCAGACACATCCTCCCAGTTGGCGGAGGACTGGTTCTGCTTAGAACTTCAGTATACGTTGCCAAAAGCTCTTGCCTTTTAAATACCAGCTTCCTTATTTCTTAAAATTATCTGGAAGAAGCTCAAGTGAAGGGTGGGATTCACCCACAAAAACGCGGCAGCTGAGGAAATAATCCTTACGGTTTGGAGTACCTCACGCGCCCAGTTCCCATGATCAAAAGAGTCTACTTCTTTCTGGAAGGAGGTTTTCTGTTGTCAGTGGAAGAGCAAATACAGCTTCGCGTTGGCTTTTAGAAAAGACACAGGAGGAACTATTTTCGTGGCTTTTTGTCTCTGAACTGCTTTTAAAGTGTACTTAGATACGATGACCGCAGCTCTTTCAATCTCGCTTCGGTGGAAGGGTTTATGGAACCTCACCATTTCATTACCCAGATGCAATGCTAAGTATTTCATTTTAAGAAAAAAAAAAAAAGACAGAAACTGAGAGTAGTGGAATATTCTAGTCGGCCAACAGAACGTCATGTGTGCAAGCACAGCGTTGCTCCTGATTTAAATCATTCAGGTAACAGAATGGATAGTCTGACACTGAAAAACGGGTCTTGCCTCACTGTTCCCTCCTCCCTCCTGCACCAGTACAGACGCATTCGGGCAACCAGTCTTTTTTTGTTGGTTGGTTGGTTTGCCTATGTAGGAGACTGCACGTTAGGATAAAGCTTCGCCTGTGTTCTGCAGAGACTTCACCACGGGATGGAAGGATCCCGACAATGCTACTGTGGGCAGAGCTGGGTCTCGGCTGCAAGGAGTGATAATCCCTGAGGATAGGCCCAGTTGTCACATCTGTAAA